CCCCCCCCACACACACACACATATGCATCTTTTTCTTAAATGAAGCTTGTGTTACTGTTATGATGTCACTAGACTAAAACAGATTTGTGTGTGTGTACACTTGAATGAAGTTTTGGGCTAGTTATATCAGTCACTGATATCTTGTGTATTATGTACACCTGCGTTGCATATGTGGATAAATCATTGATAAGTAAATACCCCTCTTTGAAGTCCTAATCTTAGCTCCCCATGGAGAGCAGGAATAACTATAACATCATCATCATCATCCAGTGCCAGATCTGCGACAGACAACGGCGATCTTGGTTTTCCGTTCATTCCTTTGCTCTGATGGTCTCAATAAAGCTATGGTTCCCTGATCTTTCCCGGTTACCCATTTGTTTAGGTTCCCTAAGTATTTTGTTCTGGGCCTACCCCTGCCTGGTTTGCCCTCAATTTTGCCAGTGAGAGCTAGATATTCAAGACCCTTGTGTCTATTCAGGTGTCCCAAAAACTGCATGTGTCGTTTCCTAATTGTTTTTAACATTGAGCGTCCCACGTGGGCTTCATCAAGCACTATTTTATTTGATTTCTTTTCCTTCCAGGATACTCTTAGCAGTCTCATAAAAAACCGCAGTTCTGTTGCTTCTATTCTATTTTCACTGTCTGTAATGATTGTCCAGCATTCACATCCATATAAAAGGGTTGACCAAACATAACATTCCAGAACTTTCATCTTGGTGTTCATTGAGATGTTTCTTTTTTTTCAGGATTGGGTTCATTTTTATTGAAACTAGCCTTAGCCTTTGTAATTTTCCGTCTAATTTCTGTGGAAAATTTGTCATCAGATGTTATCAAGTATCCTAGATATTTAAACTGTTAGACTTGTTTGATCTTTTCACCTTTGCTAATGAGATTACAACTAGGATTTGCTGCTTTTTTTATATTACCATGCGTTACGTTTTCTTTGCACTCCACACTAATCCTTTACGTTCACCTTCTGTTACAACAGTATCTAGAAGCAATTGAAGGTCCTTTTCTGAGCCTGCTATTAAAACTGTGTCATCTGCATACCTGATGTTATTAATATTTTCTCCATTTACTCTGGGACCTTGGCATTCTTTTATGTTTCTAAGGATGGTTTCACAGTAGATGTTAAAGAGGTCTAGTGACATAACACATCCTTGCCTCACTCCTCGCCTAATCTGCTTACATTCACTGTATTCTCCATTAATTCGTACAGCAGCGTTTTGGTCCCAGTACAAA